GGGAGGTCAAACATTATGCCTAAGAGGGCAATGGTTAAAGTTGTGAGAGTAAAATTGAAAGTCAAGTGGAGACCCCAGGAAGTTGAAGAAGCTTGAAACATGGAACATATGAAGAATACCACAAAGAGTGAGCAAACCCAACTCAAGAGCAGATCCATAGAGCTGCAATCATTGGCAGTCTCATAGGAGCAGGGCCACCCAAGCCATTTGAAGTTAAATTGTCACCACAACTCCCCCCCCAACCCCGAGTGCCAGTCATAGAGCTACAGGATTTAATGTTTGCCCTGCTGGGTGTTGGTTTTACTTCAATCCCATTGGTTTCTATCCCCCTATTCCTCTCATTTGGAATAAGAATGTTTACCTTGTGCTATTTTATGCCTGAAGTGTTTAGCTTTCTTTTTGATTTTACAAGTGCTCACAGCTAAGAGTTTGCCTTAGGACTTTGCCAACTCTTGAGAGATTGACTAAATGTACTTTGCATAAAGTCTGTGCATGAGTCTTCTGAGGATTAGAGGTGGAATGTTATGGTTTATATCTAGATGTCCCCCAAGACATCTAGAGCTCAAGAGCCTCCTGAGTTCATAGGTGGGGCTTTTGGGGAGGTGACCGGTGTTACAGTTTGTGTTTAGATGTTCCCCCAAAGCCTCATGTGAATGAGGTAGGACTTCCTTTTTCAGAGGTAGTTGAATCTGTAATGTGTGATGCTAGGGTTAAGGACATATGATTACTAAACCACTATGTATGAGTGATTAGTTTGGTGCCACCCTAATCCCAGTAGTCTGAATAAGATAAAAAGAGCAGAAAGACTCTTCTGCTTCTGTCTGCCATCGCGTGAATGTGCTTGCCTCTGAGGCTAACCATGTCTTCTCACAAGACTTTGAGAATCAAGAGATTCCTGGCCAAGAAGCAAAAGCAGAATCATCCCATTCCTCAATGGATTCGGATGAAGACTGGTAATAAAATCAGGTACAACTCCAAGAGGAGACACTGGAGGAGGACCAAGCTGGGACTGTAAAGAATTGAACATGAGATGCAGCATATTTCTCTCCCCAGAGTCACAAAATGATACATTCTTTATCATGCTGTAGGTTACATTACCATATCAAGCTTAAATACGATTGGTTGGACAGTTGAACATGCTTAATCAGGAATCTTGCTCTGTGATCACTCTGAGTCAACAATAAATGTTTTGAAACTTAAAAAAAAAAAAAAAAAAGCAGAAAGATGCTGTTAAACTCTCTTGTTACCTTTGCTACTATGTGGGTGCCATGTTGTTTCTCTTCTCCTGTGCCTGTTTGTCATCCCTGCCTTGGAGTCAGCCAATTATGTACTGAAACTTCTATGAACTGTAAACCAAATAAACCCCTTCCCCTCTAACTTTGGGTGTTGGGTATTTTGTCTCAGCAACAAGAGAAAAGTAACTAACACAACTGGGTTACGGGAGCTCATAGCTTACTTGCTATTAGGAGGTGGGGAAGAGGCAGCTCATTGGGGGTGTGGTCTGAAAGGGTGTATCTTCCTCCCCAGCTCCTCCCTTCACCTTCTGCTTTTTGTATGCCATGCCATGATGAGCAGCTCTTCTCTGCCAGATCCTTCCACCCTGCTGCTTCTGCCTGGAGCTGTCCAACCTTGCAAAGATTGAAACAAAGATTCTAAAATGTAAGCCAAAGCTCTGCATGGTGGTGCCTGCCTATATTTCCAGCATTCGGCAGGCTGAGGTAGAGAACTACAATGGGTTTGATGCCAGCCTAGGCTACATAGTGAGTTCAAGGCCAGTCTGAACTACATAGTGAGACCCTATCTCAAAAAACAAAATATGGGCCAGGGATTTAGCTCAGTGGTTCCGCCGCCTGCCTCACAAGCACAAGGTCCTGAGTTCGATCCCCGGTACCAAAAAACCCAAAAAAAACTAAAAAAAAAAAAAAAAAAAAAACCCAATAAACAGCCTCGAAAAACAAAACATGAGCCTAACTAAAATTTTCCTCCTTTAAGTTGTGGGTATCAGCTATTATGTTATCAGCATTGAAAAAAGTGACTAAAACAGTACTAATACCATTTTAGGGTTCAGCAGAGACTTAAAGTTTCAAAGCCTCAGAACTCTGGTACCAGAGGTAATTTAATTTTACCCTCTGTCTGGGGTATCTAGTACTCTCTGACAAGGAATCCCTGCTAGATTTATTTAGCTTCCTCCTGATGAGAAACTCCTACCACCTTGAGGCACATCTTTGACATACTGGAAAGCTCTGACAAATCATGTTAGGGAACAACTTCCTAAGTCCCTTTAACTTTCATCTACTAGTTATAGTTCCATTCCCACGATCTGCAGAATAAACCTGTTTGAAAATTGAAGTCAAGCTCCCAGGAGTCCTTTTTTTTCCCCCAATGAAATCACCCTAGGTTTTACAATTGTTCCTCCAGACGAAGGTTTCAGAGCCCCAATTGCTCTGGTTACTCTCTCCTTTCCAGATCCTGGTTCATCTAGATGTCTTTTCAAGTGTGCTGTCGGGAAATGTTACCTGGGCTTTCCTGGCAATATGATCATTATGGCCACTTCCATCATTCTCGACACTGTTCTTCTTTCAGTCTAACCGTGCATAAACCTTTTCGAAAGCATCACATTCTTTTTGTGATTGCCTTTGGCACAGGCAGCATGCTACTACTCTGCTAGACTGCAAGGTAAAGTTGCAGTAGTCTGGCAAGTCCCAGGCATCTCTACAGAAAATAGGCTAGAGGCTGTGAAATGAGAGAGGACAGAGACAGAGATGTGGAGCTCCAAAGGCAGCTTGGTCAGAAGGATGGTTGGGAAGGAAAAGTTTGGCATTGAGAGACAATATTTTTTGTTTTGAGACTGGATCTCTGACATCTCAATAAAAGAATGTGAGATTTGAGGTTTTCTTTGTGGTCCTATGACTCCTTTTAAGCTTTTCAAAGGAAAAGTCAACTTGGAACTGGAATGTAGTATGAACAGCTTTAACCACTAATATCTTCTTGCTGTACTAACTTATTCAAATACTTATGTGTGCATGTATTTAAATGATGAAATCGGAAAAGTAATCAGATCCTGTATCAAGCCCTATGTACTTAGCTGCAGAAAGTAAGGGAGACTTTGAGAAAATGAAAGTTGTTTGGAAAAATACAGATTTCACTGTTTTCTGTTATGATGATGTGGTAGTCAGTTTCTAAGATGATTCTTACCTTCTGGTATTCAATCATATCCTTGAAGCTGCTGTAAGTAACCGATAGGATATTGTAGAAATGATGGATTGTGGTACAGTCTGAATATTTGTGGCCTCCCACCCCTTAGATTTAGTATGTTGAAATTTTAACCTTGAAGGTGATGATACTAAGAGTGAGCCCTTTGGAAGGTTAAGCCATGAAAGAGATCATTGCAGTTAAAAGAGGCGTGGAGGAGAGCCCCCTGTGGCATGTGAAGATTCGACAAGGTGCCATTTATGAAGAACAGGGCTCTCCCTCAACATCTGTTGGTGCCCTGGTCTTGGTCTTTCTTTCCTCCAGCAATAAATATTGTTTATAAATTAGCTACTTACAGTAGCCCAAAGGGACTGAGACACAGTGTTACTTCAATAAGCAGGTCATGAAAGATACTGTGGTTCTGGCTTGCCCTCTTGGGTTACTTTTTTCATCACCGTATCATGAAGGCATTCAACCAGCCTTATAACCAGACTTTCCTATAGGAAAGTCTTCATGATGGGAAGCTGAGGCATTCTCCCAACAGTCAGCGTTGACCTTCTAGTCATGTGAATGAACTATCCTGAAAAAGCCTCCTATGCTGGAAGCCTCAGTTAAGTTTTCAGATGTCTGGAGCCCTGGTAGACAACTTGACTTCAACTTTGTAAGACCCTGAGCCAGAACCAGCCAACGAAGCTGCTCCTGTATTCCTGGCTCACAGAAACTGTGGAATGATGTTTATTGTTTAAGTTACTAAGCTACTGTTTTAAGCTCCTAAGCTTTGAGAAATGTACTGTATAGCAATAAATAACACAGATGGTTAGAAAGGAGTGAAAATAGTACAGGCCCTTTATACTAGGCCTGGACCTGTCTTAGCCCCCAATAGTTATGTTCATTCACTGCTTTTTGGACATCCCTGACAACCAGAGTAGTATCACAGAGAATGACAAAACAAACAAACAAACAAAAAAACACCTCCTTTTTGTTTCTAGGAAAGGATAAGGATGACACTGAGAACTTATATAAATTTTTTATTTTAGTTCCCAGCGGCCCCTGGAAGAGGTTGTCTTTTGTCTGTGTGCTATGGTGCTTTGGGACCTAGACAGCAGAGCTTGGATCTTATTCTAACCCCACTGCCTAAACATACACAATGAGTGGTATCAGTAGGAGGACAAATGTCACTCCCTCCTACTGAATTCTGAATAAATTTTATTCATCAATGAAGCCTTGATAATATTCTGCATATCATTTTCAGTGTTAACCCACATCCCTCTATTAAGTACCTTGCTTTTTGGAGCTCATCCCCTATGACTCTCCCATCCCATCTCCTCTGTGCAATGTTGCTTTAACTGCTACGCGAGATTCCAGCATGCTTGATCCAGCAAAGCACAGAGATCTGCCACTAATACACCAACAACATACATTGCAAAGTTGTCCAAAACCATAGTGGAAAGAGCCCTGGGCTGGAGCTAGGAGATCCAGGAGACCAGAGTTTTGGGCAACTGACACTGATTAGTCAACATGCTTTCCCTTCCTGGATCTGCCTGACCTTCCAAGTCATCCGGGTTCTCACAAGTTAGGATTCCATGGTGCAATCCAGAAGTGAAACCCGGTGGTTGGCTACCTCTGAGGTGCTGTCAGCTCACAGTGCAAGGATTCTTGGACTTTCTTTTATTGGGCCATGGATACAGCCTCAGTGAAACACTGTCAGCTTGATCTGAAAGAACTTTCCGGTTTCGAAAGACGGTTTCCACTTGGTCACTAACTCCAGATGAGCTTGGGCAAATTTTTCTCCTGGACCTCTGCAGGAAAGGAAAGTCTTTATTACTTAGAAATAGCTCGAAGGCCCTGGAGAGCTTTCTCAGATACAATCTGGGCGGCTACAATCTGGGCGGTTTAGCCCCGGAGTAGAGTCCTTACACACTAGTAGTTCCGCTCAGAGGTGCAGGAAACCTAACCAGCGGAGCTCAGCTCCGGAGGAGGTGGCCTTAAAGGGGCCTCCAGAACTTGGATAATACCTGAGGGGATGGCTGGTTAGGGACACAGGCGTGGTGGAATGAATGCAAGAGCGAATGAATGAACGAACCTCCCCCCCTTAAACGATTCATACTTGTAATTAGTAATTTACTTTAAAATCTTCTACTGAAACCCTCAAATCTTTTTTAAAAAATCAAATTAACCAGTTTCCTCGTTTACTGCCTTTTTTTCATGCAGTCTCTTAAACCTTTTACTAAAAGGCGAACGGTAACTTTAAAAGAAGCAGTAAAGTGGAAGGCAACGTGGAGATTCCCCCTCCTCGAACTCTCTGCCCTCTTTGCCCCGTACGTGGGTGGCTCCGTCAGCGCCCCAAGTCCGCTTTTCCCACTGGGGAACCTCCTCTGGGGCCCCAGGCGCTCATCCTGCAGTGGAGTTGGAAACGGCACGTGGTCGGTGGGGTTAGGGTAGTCTCGGACTGGGGGTCCCGGATCTAGTGTGGGTGGTCGCACCTCTCTTCACCCTCTTCGGCGTCCCCGGATCGCCGCTATCGCCGACCCGCAGGGCACCCTGCTGGGCAGAGAGCTCGCGCGTGGCAAAGGCGGACTGTCCCGGAGCCACTCGGACCACCTGTAGAATCTGAGTGTCAGCGGTCTCGCCCTCAGAGCTGCTTTAGGGCCCGCCGCTCTAGAAGAGGTCCTCCCCTCGCGACACTCTCGGAGTCCCCTGCTCACTCCCCAGCCCCTTCCTGCGCTTCTTCCCCTTTGCAACCCCGAGGTAGCACCGCCACGAGACCCAGGCTCGGCGCGAGCCGCCTCCTCACTTCTCATTGGCTGAGAGCGCAGGGAGGGCGATCACGTGGGCGCGCGGCCGGCCAGCTCCGGGGACGCCATCTTGGCGGAAAGTTTGGGGGGAGAGCAGCCGGGGGTGCGGTAGGAGGCGAGGTTCCGGTGGGTGGGGCGGCCCTGAGGCGAGAGGGCGAGTAGGGCTGCGGGCTACGGCGACCTAGGAGACTGTGGCGACAGCCCAGGAGAAGGAAGAGGCAGCGGGGGTGCGGCCGCCGCGAGGAGCTCCTCCCCCGTTCCCTCACCCCGTCGGCGGAGCTGCTTCGGCCCGGGGCGGGGCGGGGGTACGTGGAGCCTGTCCGGACTGGGGAGCCGCTAAGAGTCCGGCTGAAGTGCACCTCGGCGCCCGCTCCTGCTGCCTGCGGGAACTTTGTGACCGCGCCGCAGGTGTGGAGGCCGGCGGAGGTGTGCATGTGGGGCGCGAGGGCGTCGCGGAGAGCGGCCGCAGTCCTGTCCGGTCCCCGCCGGAGTGGCCCGGAGCTGGAGGGCGAGGAGAAAGGCAAGCGAGGGGAGGGAAGGGGTTGCGGGCGGGTGGGGCGAGGGACTAGCGCGGCTGAAACCCTTCGTGCGCGTCCTAAGTGCTGAGACGAAACTGGGGCGCCCCTCACTTACCCGCCCCCCAAAGCAGGTGGGATGACTGGGTACTTGGGCTAGTGTTGCTTGCCGGGCGGGGGAGGGGACTCTCTTCCAGGCTCCTAATGCTCTTTGGGGAGGGGGAATCTCTAGAGGAGACTTTGGAGGTAGATTTGTGCTTGCTCCTGAGCGGCCGGGATACCGACCCCTAGGAAGCAGCTTGTTGTGTATTGACACTCCTGGGCTTTGAGGAGGCTCTTCCTTTCACTTTGGAAAACTTTGGAAGGTGGGCTTTTCAACCAGGGCTGGAGTTTTCTGGAGATGTAGGGGAAATCGTACTTTAGCCACGATTCGATTCTTTAGTTCTTTTTTTTCCTTTTCTGTTTGTGTATTTAAGGTGTGTGAACCTCTTCCTGATTCCTGGAGAAAAATGCCGGTCCGGAAGCAAGGTGAGAATTTATTTCAGAACTCATGTGAATGTTACTTTCTTTCCCATCGTTTGTCAGTTTTGTAATTGCTGTTTTTAAACATGTTTGTGAAACTTAGATGAGATAGCCAGGACCTACCTTTACTGCTTCGGGCGTATAAGTAGCGTTTGAGAAGATGGAAACACCTAAGTGTGTTAAACTTACTTTCATGATAGCATCTCTCCAGTGATTAGAGAAACACCACCCCCATGTCTTTTTAGAAACTGAATTGAAAAAAAAAAACAAAACTGAATTGGTGTGTTAGTATTTCACTTTGGTCATTTTTACTAAACACTTTTGTCAGCAACTGGAATACTAAGAACCAGTGTTTTGAAACTCTTAATTCTTTTGAAACTCTTAATTGGATTATGACATATTGTAAATAATTTGCTTTTGCCCATTAGGTAATCTGAAACTAAATTGCTAATACTTTGATCAAATGGTTTTTTACTGTTGTAAACTTATCTGTGCACATTTATTACAAACTGCTTACCTGGCCCTTTTTCTACTGTAATATATTTTTTAATTTTTCTTGGCCATTCTAGGGACATATGTGTAGTGAACATAGTGACAACAGTTGACCAGAAGGATTTGGGAACTATTTGGATGTCTTGCAGAATCATTTGCATTAACATATAATGCTTTGTTGTGAATATACACACTTTTCACTAGTCTTCTTTTCTTCTCAGATACCCAGAGGGCGTTGCACCTTTTGGAAGAGTATCGTTCTAAACTAAGCCAAACTGAAGATAGACAGCTAAGAAGTTCCATAGAACGAGTTATTAACATATTTCAGAGCAACCTCTTTCAGGCTTTAATAGGTGAGAATTAAAACTTTATTTGTGGTCACTTGGTGTTAGATGTAATGCTTGTCTGAATTCAGTTATTTTAAATTTAAGGATGTGCTTTGTTCTCTATGAGACACTCAGTAACTTGAACATCTTCAGTGAATTGTATGGGTTTTTTTGTTTTTTTTTTTTGGTACTAGGATTTGAACTTGGGCCTGAAAACACTGTGCTGCTGAGCTACATCCCCAGCCCAAGTTGTAGTTTTTTTATAGTTATAGGTCAGTATCTTTTCTAAAATATCAAATAACAACCAAAAAAACCCTTTTAATGGTCTTTGAGAACACTTTCATATCCTAGAATTACTGTTCTTAGTATTCTAGACGTACTGTTAAAAGTTGGGGAAGTTGTAGAAATGTTTCAGGACCCAAAGGTAATGACTGACTTAGTGCCCTCTTGTTTCTGTGGTTGACTTGTATTTCTTTATGGTCCTTGAAAATGTTTGAAGGGTTCCTCTGTGTTTAAGAACATTCATTCATTCATTCCCTTCATGTGGACCTCTGTTAAATGTGCCATTTGTAACGTCAGAATTTTAGACTCAGAAAATGATCTTGTCTAGTAAACTTATTTTACATATAAAAAAGTGAAGCACTTTATTCTTAACTGTAATTTAAATTTAGGGTGGTATGTTGCTTTAAAAGAGAATTGGACAAGTAAGTCTACAGTTCTGAATTCGATTCTAGAAGGTGCCAGTAACTGAATATTGTACAAGTCGTTTAACATTTTTAGGCCATTGTTTTACCTTTAGAATGTAGATAGTGAAATGCAACAATGGAGTGTTAAGCCTTTTTCTTTTAAAGGCAGCTATAACCTTTTAAAAAAGAAAACGTGGGCCAGGGATTTAGCTCAGTGGTTTCAGCGCCTGCCTTGCAAGCGCAAGGTCCTGAGTTCGATCCCTGGTACCAAAAAAAAAAAAAGAAAATTTTGTTCACAATCCCTGATATCTGAAACAAGTGATCCATCACTGGTCCTTTTGTCCAGGTGCCTTGAAAAGTTTGCAAACTACTGAACTAGAAAATATTCCTTCCAGTTTTAAGAATGAAATTTTAAATAATCATTGATGCTATAACTTAAAAAGATATATAGTTCATTGCATTATTTCCTTAGTAACTTCTAAGCAGATATGCCTTATGTGTATCTATTGTTGGAGTAATTATAATATGATTTGAAGACTACTTTGGAGTTATTGTACCATGTCAAGTAAGTTACTGATAATTTAATGTCTTCTACTAAATTTGTTTTAGAATTAAAGATTTTTAAGAAGACTGCTTGATATATGTGCAAAAAAATTTAAACTTAACATTATTATGGACTTTAAAATATTTTTTATTAGTATGTGTGTGCAGGAGTTGGTATGTGTATATAACACATCTTAATCCCTTTTTTCATCCCCTTTTCCTCCCTTCCCACTCGACTCCCTTCATCTCTTGGTCCCCTTCCCGTGGAGAAAGCTCTATCTCGCTACTTCCTATTATCTTTTATTTGCTCTTTATTTTAATTCAGGTTCCTCATATAAGAGAAACCATGCAATATTTAAGCTTGTTTGTCTGATTTCTTTCACTTAATATTATGGTCTAAGATGCAAAGCATACATTAAGATTAGAGAGCACAATATAATGAACAACCATATACCCACCATCCATCTTAAATTATGAACATTTTGCCATTTTTGTTTACATCAGTGGACCTTTTTTTGGTATTTGAATTTCTAAACTCAGAGGCTTAATGTCCAAATAGATAATCAGATTGAGCTCTCTGAAAAAAACAGCAAAAAGGAAGAGAAAGTTACTTTTTTAGTTATTTGGTTTTCTATATCAACATTAAATTTTATTTTTATTTAGTAGAGTTACTTTTTGGCAAAAAGCAGTATGACTTGTATGTCCTTGTTTACATATATACATAATCTAGACTGTAGTCTTACTATGTGGGTTGGCCATGACTTAAGAAAATTAAGTGGTTAGTGAAGTAACTAAATTTATCCTTGTATTTTCCCTTAGGTTGGAGATGGACTTGGTATGTTTGTGGGCACTTTTTACATATTCTGCATTGCCTATTTTGAATGTTTATTCTTAATGCATAATTGGATTTTGGTAGTTTTCTAATTAAGTGTGCATTTATGGTTCTTTTTTGTCCAGTATAATTTTGGTTGTGAATTTATTTTGATACTTATGCTTATATTTTAATGTTTTAGGAAAAAAAGTGTTTTAGAGGATGTATCAGATTTTGGTGTAAGAAAAGTAATAGGCTTTAGGAATTTTGAAATAGGTAAATTTAGTAGAGGTGTTTGTGTTTTCATACTGTAATTGAATTAATTGTTGATACTACTGAATTAATAAATGCATTATCTTGTGTTTGCTTCTCTGTCTGAAAATTTTTAGGCCCATACAATCTTCTCTCTTTCTGCTTTGCACTTTGCCATTGTTTTTGAAACAGTGCTATAGGTATTTTAAATCTGTAAATTAAAAACTAGTCCACTGTGTTCATAGTGTATACTATTTAGAATTAACTTTTTTTCCTTTAGTAGGTGCCACTCAGGGTTCTAAGGTAGTGCCTGTGTGCTGTTTAAGGACTAAAAGGATACATAGGTCCTGATCACCTGAGTTATTTAGAAAGTCATTAGGTGTTTTTGTTTTGCCCCCATACCGAGGATTGAACTCAGGACCTTGCACTTGCAAGGCAGGCACGGCACCACTGAGCTACATCCCCAGTCCTGTTTGTTTGTTTGTTTTGAGACAGAGTCTTGCTGAGTAATTCAGGCTGGCCTTGAACTCTCTGTGTAGCCCAGGCTGGCCTTGAAGTCCTGGCTATCCTCCTGTCTCAACCTCCTAAGTGCTGGGATTCCGGGGGATGTTTAGGTTCTTGACTTCTATAGTTTTAAAATCATCTGCTTAGGATATAGTGAATTATCTAGTTATTTGTTTGGGATGTTGAGTATCTTTGTATTTGCATTAAGATTGATTATTTATTGATTCTTTGAACTGATAGTTTATATTGACTGTTTTCATGTATTTAAGGAGGGCTTGTCTGAGGCTTTAAAAATTTTGGTGTTACAGAAATATTATCACCCCCTCTGTAGTTGATGTATAGATTAGGTTTCTGGTTTGGGGGCTTATTCAGAGATTCAAGTATGTACATACTGCGTTGCATCTGTATTATGATACCAATTTTTAAATATTTCAATAGCTCTGAATTTAGGATGCATTTTATTAATGGTATGTATCATTTTTAATTGGCTTTTTTGTATTCTTAAACACACAAAGTAATGGTGCAATTTATAATTGATAATATTTTAAATTTAATGAAATATAGAAATCATTGTTCTATCTCTAATGCTTGGTAGTATCCTTAAATGATGACTGGAAGATTTTAAAATTATTGAAAATAATAAAGTTTTTATTCACTTTTGAGTCTCTTTAGAGGTTAGTATTTAAAGGTATGCCTAAAAAATTCCATGAGCTGCACATTTGTTTAAAATTTATTCCTCAAACATATCTGGTGATTATTTTTGTATAAATGGGACATAAATCCTTCTTAATTTCACTCTGTGTTGGGTAAGAGCAGTTTGAGGACTTAATATATTTGATTTTTGTATTTACATTTTCTGTACTTACATTTGAGCCCAGATTTTCAGAAAATTGCTATGGAGCAATTTCAGGTCCTTCCTGTTTCTAAGGTGTCTAGGATCCCAGATGACCCTGGTAGTCCTTGGAGGTTTCATACCAGTCTAGAACCCTGCAGTTACTTCTTGTGGGATCAGGGAACACATCAGCTTTCCTTGTGACCAGGATTCTGGGCTCAAGATCAGGCTGGCTTGAGAGACTGGAGTAAGGAGTCATATGATTTATATATTTTATCTGCAATAAATAAGCTTTTTTAAAAAAATTGATTTTTAAAAATAAAATGTAATATATATAATAGAGGTTTATAGAATGATTTATAGGATACATGTAGATAGTAAAATGTTTACTAGAGTAAAGCAGATTAACATCTATCATCTCACATATTTTGTGTCTAGCAACTAAAATCTAACAGTCCCTAAAACTGTACAACTTTAACTTTAGTAGTCATGATGAACATTAGAAATTTACATTTTTCATTCTATATATTTGCTATTTTGTATCCTTTGACTATATCTCACCATTTCCTCTCCCATTTCACTTGTCATTTTCTGTGAATGAAACATTTTTTTTTTCTGTAATATTCTGTACTATTTTTCTTTCTATATCTGGCTTATTTTACTAAGCATAATGTCCTCCAGGTCCATCCATGTTGTGGCAAAATGGATCTCCTTGTTTTAACACTGAATAATATTTGTGTGTGTGAATCTGTACATGTATATGTACCATGTTTTCTCAATCCATTAGTTTGTTGATTGACATTTTGGTTGTTTCCATTTCTGGCCTGTTGTGAATAATGCTACCATGAACAGTCTTTACAAGACTATGATTTCATCTCCTTTGGGTACATCTGTACCTAGAGGCAGAATTGCTGAATTGCATGGTAGTTCTTTTTTAAATTTCTTTAGAAACCTCGATACTGTTTTCCATATGGCCATACCAACCTACATCTCCACCAACAATGTACCAGGGTTCCCTTTTCTCTTCACGCTCCCTGACATGTATTAGATCTTGTCTTTTTGATAATGTCCATCCTTACAGGTATTAGGTGGTATCGCATACTTGCATTTCTCTGATGATGGCCATTGGAGAAATGTCTGTTCAGTCCTTTGCCCATCCCTCCCCTACCACCACCATCATGGGGTGGGGGGGATCAAATTCAGGACCTTGAGCTTGTGAGGCAGGTGCGATGCCACTGAGCTAAATCCCTGGCATCCTTTGCCCATTTTTAAATTGGGCTCTCTGTCTGCTCTTAATTTGTAAGAGTTCTTTATAAGGTTTTGTATATTAATTCCTTACTAGATATGTGGCTTGTAAATACTTTTTTCTGGTCTGTAGGTTGCTTTTTCATTTTTTTTA